CGACTGAAAGCATCGTTGCTTTTCATGGGATGCGGTGTGGATGCGTGTTTATACAGGGGGGGGGGGCAAAAAAAGACATTCTGTCTCCACATTCAAACCGATTTAATCACACTCTGCTAAATTCGAACCGAATGGTCTCAACTTAAATGAAAGAGCACATTCCATTTTATAAAATAAACTTCATATTGCCCTTCAAGGTGGACGAAATCGGAAAAATTAGCACTGAAAACATGGTGTACTGGTCGTGCTCAATGGGGTCGTGGACGGACCCATACCATTACGACGTTTTCTGAAAAGCGGGTTCCGAGGGGTTTGCATATTCAGAGCTAATGTTTCTAGGAAACTATCCAACGATGAATCGATTGAAGAAATTAAGCTTCGGGCTGAAGCATTTACTGTAGGTCCTCCTGAGCTCGACGACGGTGACAGATGACGTCATATTCTGAAGACGGTGAGGGCAGTGAAGGAGGGCCTGCGTCTACTTATAGAGGGACATTTGGGAATACTTTGCTGAGGAACTTCCCGTCAACGACGGCAATCTCTGCGAAGAAAAAAAACGCAAAGGTGCCGACATAGGCAAAATGTTTTTTTATTGCCCCCCCCTGTATAATCGTAAAAAAGAAGCTTTGGAAACCATCCATGAAGTGGGCGTGGTTGCTCAGACGTCTGCGATCCCCTCGGCCGACTTCCAACCACGCCCACTTCGAAGCCGTTCAGCTCCCTTTCTAGCGGCTTTCCAAGGTGAGTTTTTTGTTCAGTCACACTTTTCTTGACTAGGGCTAGCGCATCGTTCCACACCATTAGTGTCGAAGGTAAAAACCCTGCTGGGACTGTTGCTTTAAGCGTAAGAGATCTCAATAGTGAAGCTAATACTGCAAAATATGTGAAATTTGCAGCAGCATTAGGCTGGTCGTGGTTGTCGTATAATGGTACGTCCCATTGATTGTACACTTGTCTTTCTAACTTTCATCGAAATTTTATTATCTTCTAGATTTATCACATCTCTGGACCATGAGGCAAGTACTCACGATGTATATTATGCTTTCAAGGCCGAATACGTGGCGCTCTCAATGGTCTCACTGAGAACGTTTTGCGTTAACAAATTAAATGAAATCAACCCATAATGCCTTAAATTGGCCACTTCTCAAAGTCGCGTGTTGTCGAGTGATACAAATATCAGAAGAGAAATCGCTTACAATCCACAACAGACATGTAATTGTGGGAAACACTTCAGTAGATTTCGTGAAGTCGTTCCCGTTCCATCAGTTCCTGTTCTCGTGCTCGTTCGTACTGAAAATATCGAATTATTTACGTGGAAAATATAGCGAGGCAGGGGGAGGGGGGGGGAGAGCGTTTGGGAAATAATTGTATCTACGTTGTTGGTGATTATTATAATATCTCTTCGATATTCATGTATTACGGACATTATCACCCATTTGAGGCGGCGTCAATAGACTGAATTATTGGAGAAGGATGTAGTTATACTGCAGGGAGGTTACGTCTCCGTGCTTACGACGTGAGCATTGTAAAGGACGCGCCAATTTGAAATTTTTCGAAGTCTCGCTTCGTAGGGGGGGGCGGGGGAGCGGGTAACGATACACCCCCAATACCACCACCCCTGAAAAGGGCTCCTTTACTCCCTTAAGCGTGCATCTCTTCACAGTCCGCCTCGAGATCCATTTTTAAACACCCGATCTCCTGGCGACTCATCCAAGTTCCACGAGAACGACCGTCCGCTCGCCTTTTCAAATGAGGGGCAAACTGGAGATTCGACTTTCTTCTCGTTGAGGAATCGCGTCTCAACAGGTGGGTAATCTGTGGAGAATACTCAATCGCGATAGACGTGAAACAGGCCTGCACCCGGCTCACGGTTCTAGATCCCACGCCGAAGCTCACCAAGCCCGTCCAAAGAACCAATACAGATCTCGGCAAGTATTTGGCGGGTTGAGTCGGTGCCCACGGTCAACGCTTCGTCCTTTCGAATAAGGTATTGAGACAAGGCGCAGTAGACATGGAGAGTTATGTAAGTATTATGTAGTTTTTACCTTGCTGAGGAAATTGAATTCGGACTGTGCATAGTAGTTGATGTCCCCATGCACTGTGTCCGGGTCATCGACCTGATTCAGTATCCGAATTTGCAGAATCAGACCTAAAACAGGTTGTTGAAACAAAACACGGCTAAAGACTGAAGAGTGGTTTGCCTCGAATCTTGGACCACAAACGTCCAATAGATATCAGTGGCGCTTTTTCTAACCCTACAGAGAGCTGTGGATAGGAGTTGTGTAGCTGCACGTGGCGCTGCTTACCAGTGCATGACCCGGGATCAAATCTAAGGTACTACTCCATCCAGGCCAACCAAAACCTTCCATTCATCCGCACCCGGGTCGGTTAATCAGTACCAGATTTGTCTGGGAAGACGAAATGGTTGACTAATGCATCAGTCCTCCGTAACTTATACGGTAGTCCAAATCGCCCTCAGTTCTACGATAATGAACGGAGATGGAGTGCATGGCGTATTCCGTAGAGGGATTGATCAAGCTAGCCGTATACTTTATCTCTCATCTTCCACAGAAAACAACTCAACCTAGGGGTGCTTTAGGAAAAAATGGGTCTTTCTTCAGCGGCCGAAATATCTCTGGGATGCAGGTGCTTCTCAACTCAAGCAAGATACAGCTCTCACCTGTGATAAGACCTCCGACGATTGCTGACGCTAGAGCCGTGCCCATGCCGGCTAATTGGTAAAGGGCCTGAATTTCACGATTTCTGTCACCATTCATTGGACCGCCCTCGAAGTATGGATATATGTGGTAGAGCCTTGAAAATGAATAGAATTTGGCAAACTATTATTTCGCTAAGAGTAAAAGTGTGAAGAACTAACGTTTTCCCATAGCTTTCCGGTTCATAACCGAGTGCAAAAATTATGCTGAAGATCTGAAAGCAACTTCAATTATATTCAGAATTGAGTCTATCTGTATGTTTTCTTGAAAGGGTTTCTAGTCTATCTACATATTTCATGGTTTATTTTGATTTTCCAAGCATTTGATAAGTTTGCTCATTTCAAGCTTGTGAGCAAGTTAGTTCCGCTCGAGATTAATCCTCCACCATGCCGTCGGATCGAGCTGTACCGTTCCTAGAAGAACTTTTCAAGTTCCACACTGAATCGGTTTACCGGAATCGAGACATGTTACATGCTGAGCTTC